CACGAAGACGGTTGGGTAGCCCACTATGCTATTCATCAGATTGACATCCAATGCCCTCAGTCCATTAGCAGTTCTCCAGCCACATCTCTCCAAATTACAAACGCGGTTGGTCGGACAGGGTCACACGTCATGCTCTCCATCATTCACTCATGTAGACACCCTCCACCCTTCCCCTCATTCCCCACAACAAACTCAACCCTCCCAAGTCTGACCCCAATAGCTCAGCCCGGCTCCCGTAAACTCCTCCCCATTACACTTTCTTACCGATGTGATGATCGGCATGCAGATGCGATATGTAGATGGCAGACAGTCGCCGTAGGGTCTCGGCCGCGCACTCGCTGCCCTGGAGTCGCACCAGCTGACCGTGCGTACCCTCGCCGCAGTCGAGCAAGATGCTATGCTTCTCACTGGAGACGAAGGGAAGTGATACCAAAGCTACCCTCAGTCCAGGCAGGTATTTGAAGTAACACATTTGTTCCAGGCCATCCCTTTGAGTTTTAAACCAGCGATATATTTTGAATTATGTTCCGTTACAAAACCACGGCGACCGACATAAATCGGTGGTGTAGTTTTTACACGAGTATGACAAATAATTCCAACTAAGAGCGTCACATAATTCATACTGCATTTCAGCCTAAGCCAGAAACGTTTCCATTTTTACGGCAATGTCGCCGTGCGGCTCACCTGAGGTTCACCAGAATCCCACTCGTATTCCGTTTCTTGTTTGGAATCGAGCTGCCCGTACCCAGGAATACAGTCTGTGGGTACACATCATCCGACGGAGGCAGGGCAGACCGGGCGCGTCGGTACTCGTCCAGCCGCGCCACAAACGTCTCATCGGCGGCCAGCTCGGCGCGGTATACCTCGGGTGTGACTGGCAAGACACCTTCGCTGTGGTTAGAAGGGGAGGGGGCAGTCAGAGGGGCGAAACACGGACGTAACACAGCTTCTGCAGCCACAGTATCTAGTTTAGCCACGGTTGCTATACAGACATGGTAAAGACGTTCAACACAATCATTTTTTTCTGCTATTCACTATAATTGCGATTGAAGAGAAACAAGACAGCGATATTTCAGACACCAAAGCGAAGTTTCGTACTCCGCGCCACTTGATGTCACTTCAAAACATATGACAGTCTATTGCGATTTATTCAACTGAACAGTCCTTTACTACCATCGAGAAACTCACAACAGAACCGAGATAGCTCAGCAGGTGTAATATTACAGTTTAGTCCCCTTTCCATCCCACCCCCAGACCCCACAGGGTGCAATACTCACGTATCCGGCGGCGCGGCTGGCCGAAGACTGAGTCCCCAGCCGGAGGGCGGGTGCAGTAGCGTCCCCGGCTCTCCCTCAGTCTCCTTCCTCTCGCCCGCTCCTTTACTGTCCGGTTGTGGTTCGGTAGGCTCCGTAGGCGGCTCGCTAGCGTCTGATGACAGGCGAGCTCTCTTATTGACCGGTACTTCTGAAATGGCCGGTACACAGTACGATAGGCACGGCGGTAGAGAAGGATCGAGAAGGCGATATAGCACTACCGGTACCACCCATAGTGCGTCTATGGCATAGCTTATTATGACCCACAGCTTAGGACAGGTGGCTGAATGTTGATTAAGACATATTTATCTCTGTGGTGGTGCACTAACAGGCAGTTTATAAGTAATTTCCCCAGAAGTCAGGAGCAGCTGGTGCGTTTTCGGGCAGTGACTATAGACAAGAGACAAGAATATTTCACTGAAAGTGATTGGAACACAAGTTGCCTCTGTAACACAAAGAATTACTTTCAGAAAAGAAAGCGATGGATAGTTCAAGAGGACAAAGCTCTGCAGTTTTTAACACCATCTGATGCATCGACTTACCTCCGTTTCCAGTGCCATTCGAGGCTCCCGTGCCGCCGTTCGCTGGGATGATGCCGAAGTTGACCTCGTCCCCGGTCAGTAGCGGAAACAGATCCGAGTCGATGGTATTCAGTTGATGCTGCAGTCGATGCACCGCCTCACTACCATGGCCATGACTCTCCTCGTTAAGCACGATATGCCTTACAGTCGCCGGCAGGCCTCCCCTCCACGTTCTGAACATGGACTCGTCCATCACAGCCGGCGGTGAGAAATGAACGACCGCCGTCAGGCGCGACATGTCAATGGACGAGTCTAAGTCTGAGAGCGAGGGGAGGAAGTCTGCGGACGGTAATTCCAGTACCACAAACTGAGGGCCGAGCTCGTCTGGTGAGGTAACATCTGCCGAACGAACCACGGTTCCATCTTCAAGCACCACATTATGTCCCGCCTTTAGACGGCCCAACAGTGGTCCGGGTTTCACCCCAAGATTAACACATTTTTCCAGACTAAGTCGGCCGGGCCAGTCAGGTATGGTGCAAACGTAGGCGTACGCCACTTCTCTTCGGTCTACCGACCCTTCGCTCGCCGCTGGCCCCTCTCCGTGAGATCGTGGCGCCCCTTCGTTCGACCGTGGCGCCGCTGTTGCAAACTGGGGCGCTCTCTGCGACTTGGCCGCGGTGGGTGGTGTGGTGGGCGTAGTGCGACCCCCGGTCCTCTCATAGGCGAAATAGTCTACGCTGGGTCGTGGGGGCGACTCTGAAGCTGGAGGCGGATCTCGTCTCACTTCTGACCCGTACAGGGGTACCGCACGCACCTGGGAATGGGTGGGCGAGGGGAAAGGCATAAGTACATACGTGCTCCCATCCCAGACTATGTATAACTTAACAACATTTCGTAATAAAATTCACATTTCCCCGCATGTCGGTTAAGACGGCTCTGACTTCTAAAGTGAGACTGTAGTGGGTTGATATTGGCATCACTAATGAAGTCGATGAAATGATGGAATAGGTTGGCCTTCGTATGAAGGGATCGGCATCGGCAAACTAAATATTCAATACTTGCGCGACTATAACCAAGCGCATAAAAACATGTTCAAATGTTGGAACCGCTACACTAAATTCATTCTCTTCATCCACGCATATCGCCACGAGAAAGACAGCGCCGCCAAAGAAAGCGCCACACGCTTCACGTGACAGGCGTCACACTGACCTTGAGCCCGACATCGACAAAGTCCGAGTCGGTATCGGAACGATGTTGGACGTTCATACCCCGCAGCTGGATGAAACTCCTCGTGTCATCATATAGGGAGCTCTGGCGACAGGGGAGGGAAAAGCAGCGTCAGATCGATTGTAATAGGCGATAACATGGTGATAGGTCTGAGCAGGCGCCAGGCTAGCAGAGACGGAGTCGTATAAAAAAGACGACGCAATAAATACACAGTTATCATTGAATGTCGTGGACGTCGCCAGAAGAATCAACTAACGACATCAGTCTGCTCATGCTGTAAAATGCTTAGCCTAAAACATCACAAGCTATTTTAGCTCTAATAGTTATACCAACATCAGTTTAGTGAGAACGACGCCAAGACTTCGATTTCCCGTCTGACTATGAGTAGCACCGGCAGAACTAGTAGCCTCGCCCCCTCCCCCTCTCACGAAATCCGCTTTGCTTGTCTCGGTTGTCTAAGGGGTCTACTCAGTCACCCATTCACCTATCCTGTCTTGTGAATACCCCTAAACCCGTCTTAGCTGTCTCATCAGCATCCCGGCAATACTTCGATCGATATCCCGACATCTCACTACACCCCAGTCGAACGGTCTCCGAAACCCCCACTCACCAGTCCTGGCGGTCCATGCAGTGTCAGCGCCGGCACCCCGATATCGTTGAGGGTCAGCAGGGCGCCCAGCACACCGCCAACGTTCCTCCAGCTGTTACACGTCACAAAAACATTCTCCAGTCGCGCCAGACGTGTCTTCCGTTCGTGCGACAGTCGCTGGGTGCCCTCACCACAGTTGAAGAGGTAACTGGAGACAGAGACAGAGGGAGAAGTCAGAAACCTCAGTTGTGCACACTGAGCACGCCAGAAACATACAAGCTGTCACATAAGCATCATTTCGTCAGTCGCAAATTCTTTTGTTGACCTCAGTAGACATGAAAAAATATATATTGGATGAACAAAGACGCATTACACCAACAAAACAAGCAATTACAAAGTATACATGACAAAAGCAAATCCACTGAACAAAAAATGATCCATGATTTCCTCAAAACACATTTCAAAATTGGCAATTTTGGTAGCAGAATCTGACAGCTGAATCCAAAATAATTCATTCTCATCTCTTTCCCTTTTAGAGAAACGGCTGTGGTGCGGTATTCACCTAGCTGTAGTGGTGAAGACATAGAGGGCCCGTGGAGCACCCTCTGCGCCTGTCCCCAACACTTGCAGTTTCACCTGACTTGGAGGACCATACGACTTGAGCTTCTTGGTCTTGGCAGAGCGGGCATCCCGCCGCTCAGTCAGGTCCACATTCTTGGGCATGGTAGCTAGCAGTCGGTGGCCAGGAAGCCTGCGGAAGGCCTGCAGCACGTGCTGTAGCATGTCCTGTCATGTCACACATCAGCAAGAATCTTATACACAGGATGTAATTTCTACAAATCACTGTGAATTTAATTAAAGAAAGATCACCAAAATATTAAACTAAATTGTCAGAGAAGGGGAAAGACGTCGCAAATAATAAGCTACGGATAAATGACTGAAATGCCAGGTTATAACCTGACATGTTTGTATACAAACATTAATAACTTTTGACAGGCACTGGCACCTAATTATTCTACGGAAAGGATCTGCAGACTAATGTACGTGTAGCATTGGTGTTCCACTTACCGGTGTGAGATACTCCCGAGTCCCGACGCCCACGTGTAAGAAGTGAGAAGAGAAACCTTAGGACTCAACGAGTAGAAGTAGGAAGCATGCCATGCACCCACATGTTGTAAGAATCTTGCCCACATGTAAGTAAGCAATTGCCAGATGTGGCGCAACATTTTCTATCCTGGCTGTTCTGGGTTCTATCACGAGCAGAAAGGCTGACATTTGATTGGTTGCCGTTGGCTAGCGAAGCAAAATACTCCATATTGATTGGTTATGTTTTATCATCTAGTTCACGTTTTATGCGATTCGAAACACGGCTTTGGGTGCTTTTTATTTTTTTTTTCACTGAGTCGAGATAAATGGATTGAGAATTGAATAAAATTGAGCATTTTGTTTTTTTTTCAGATTAAGCCTAACCCTCCCACCCAAGCAATAAAATGGCGAAAAAGGGGGCGAATCATTCTACCAGGCCCAGGTTGAAGAGAGATGACTCATCAGAAGAGGTATGTTGCATCATTTTTTTACATTCATTGCATAAGATTGTAGTTTTCATTTTTTTGAAGATATAAGGCAACATACTCGATCTGTTGTTAACTTCTGAGGTGGATAGGTTAGGAGCGGTTCAAGTCCACGCGCCTCCACCAGGCTGTGATCATTGTAGCATCCACTGTGATTATGTCTTTGATGTAGACAGAGAGGCAGCCTTGAAGGGCCACTGCAGAGTGCTGTGGCATCGTGGCCACTATGGAGTGATCAATGCGGAGCTGGAGGGCATTGACTGGGGAACAGAATTCTCACAGCTTTCCTCGCACGAAGCATTCACAAAATTGCTGTCCATCATGAACCCACTCATAGACCGACACGTTCCAAGAAGGATGCACGACACTAGACCAATGAAACCCCCCTGGAAGTCAAACCCTCCATCGTCTTTGAAGCGCCTGCGTAGGGAAGCATGGCAAGCTTACAAGGATATCAGATCCATGCTTGGCAGAAAGTCGCCTGAGACGTGCTTGGCACTGAAAACATTTCTCGAGACCAACAATAACATACGATCCTACGCTCATAGGTCCCAGATAGAGTACGAAAGGTCACTGATAGCAAGATCCAAAGCAAATCCGAAACTTCTTCACTCTTACATGAGACATAAAAAGCAATTCCGCTCCTCCGTGGGTCCACTGCGCATGGACCCAAACACCATTTCTGATGATCCGGGGGAAATGGCAGACTGTCTTCTTCGTGCTTTTGCTGACATTCACACTGCTGCGGTGCCGGAGGAGCCGGCTCCTCATCAGCGTTGCGAGGCCGCACTTAGCGAGATCGAGTTCGGCCCCTCTGACGTACGCACACTGCTCACCGGTCTAGATCCAAACTCAGCCATGGGACTGGACGGGCTGCACCCAAGACTGTTGAGGTCTTGTGCCAATACCCTCACCAGTCCCTTGTATATTATCTTCCGTCGGTCCCTTCTAGAGGGGAAGCTTCCTCGAGCCTGGAAGTCATCACTGATTGTGCCTATCTTTAAGAAAGGTTCCCGTCACGACCCTCAGAACTACAGGCCGGTTGCACTGACGTCAGTTGCTTGTAAGAGTCTTGAGAGATTGATCTTCCGTGGACTTTATGATTACTTCTGCGAAAATGCGATTCTCTCTGAGGAACAGTTTGGTTTCCGTCCAGGTCGCTCCACGGAGGACCAGCTGATTCTCACTTATGATGAAATCACTAGCGCGCTTGACTGTGGCCATCCTGTCGACCTCATCATGTTCGATTTCTCGAAAGCATTCGACGTGGTTTGTCATGCCATCCTCCTCGAGAAGCTAAGACAGATCGGTGTGCAGGGAAGGCTTCTTGACTGGCTGTATGATTTCTTGGTGGGAAGAGAAATGCAAGTGCTGGTTAAAGACACGACAAGCAAGCCAACAGAGGTGCTGAGTGGTGTACCACAGGGCTCCGTTCTAGGACCGATTTTGTTCCTATTGTACATAAATAACATCGCTTCAACTTTGACGAGTAGCTACAAGATATTCGCGGATGATTTGAAAGTGTATATGAAGATGGACAGAGAAGCCCCTCTGACTACAGCGGAAGATCTCCAGAGGGACATCGACCTACTGTACGACACAGCCACATCGTGGGGGCTGGCGCTTAACCTACGAAAGTGCGCTGTGCTTCATTTTCGGCGCCGATATCACGCCCAGTCCATCATTTCATACACATTGAATGGCACCGAAATACCGCACGTTTCGGCCTACACTGATCTGGGCGTCGCCGTGGATGACAGTTTAAAATTCCACGAGCACTGTGCCCTTGCTGCGAGAAAGGCTGGGGGCGTTGTCCATAACTTTCTTAGATCTACTCGCTGCCGATCACCTGACTTCATGATGTTCATTTGGAAGACACACATACGGCCCATTATTGAGTACGCTTCATCTGTGTGGAACAGTGGATATGTTCAAGATCTCAAGAAGTTAGAGAAAATCCAGAGACTATGGACGCGTAACACTCTGGGCCTCAAAGATACGTGCTATGGTGACAGGCTCAAAACACTTGATCTTTTTTCTGTGCAGGGTCGCCTTCTTCGTGCTGATATTTTGAAGTGCTGGAAAATATTTCATGGACACTGTCACATCTCGCCGGAGGATTTGTGGAGTCTGGAAGTAAATGGAAGAACACGTGGTCACAGACACAAGATCAAGGTCATCCGCGCGCATGTTGACGCGAGGTCCAGATACTTCACACACAGAGTCGTCAAAGAATGGAATAGCCTCCCGGGGTGGCTAGTGCAAGAAACCTCCCTGCAGAAATTCAAAGGAGGACTCGCAGAGGTGTTGGGCGCGAAACTTTACGATTACTCAGTCTAATGTTGCTACGTTATATGACAGATTACGATCGGTATAATGTCAAACCATTGGATCCCCCCCCCCCCTCCATGGTATGCGCCCCGTTCTTAACAAGCAAGGACAGGGTCAGATGCGCCATGGAGCTCCAATCGGTCATTCACCACTTGCCTCCTGATTTCTGCATTCCCACCATGCCTGGCCTTCCTTCACATGTCATTCACCCATTTGGTTTGCGGGTGAGACAGCATTTGCGTTACACTTCACAGCCGTTTCTCTCTCTTTCTTTCTTTCTTTGTGGAGCATTAGCACCAACTACGAGTCGAGTTTTGTCGACTTGTGTCGACTTGCACCAACTACGAGTCGAGTTTGTCGACTTGTTGTCGAGTTTCCACAACAATTCACACGCAGACGCACAACACCAGTTCCCTGACTCAAGGCCCACCCACTGGCCCCAGCTTGTGTCCAACTATATTCTTTGGAATTGGCGCGTCTCTGAACGACTTGGGTTTCCCTCCTTCTCACTCCTCTCCTAAGAGCAAGGCTGAGGAAACCCAACAGGTGAGTTAAACAGGTGAGTTATAAGCATTTACAGCTCAATATCATGGGTTTTTGTTGGAGAGTTTAATGTTCATTGCATTAAATGCTAATGAAATTAAAGCATTCTGAATTATCTTATTTCAGGACCCAGCAAATGCTGGTGTTGGGTGCCTCGGAACACTTGCAGCATGTGTAGCCGTGCTGGGAGTCGTCTTTGGTGTGCTGATCACCTTTGGCACAGAAAACTCCATCAAGGATGTGCCTGTTATGGTAAGAATGCTGATTTGCTTTGCTTTTCCTCTTTCTAATTTTCATGTGATGTTATCTTGATGTCTTTCCACATTATTCTGTGCTATTTTATTGTCATGTTGTTGTCATGTTATGACGTGCTTGAGACTGTTTCTGGATTCATGTTTCTTCTTCCTCATTCTCTATCTTGTCTTCCAGTCAGGACCTGTGGCATCCTCTGTGGAGGAGCGTCACCTAGTGAAGGAGGACATCACAGCTTCAGAGATTGTGGCTCAACATGCCACCTACCAGGGTAGCACAGCTTCCCAGGCTACATTCCCTAGCCATGTGCTGGGATATGTAACACCAGTAAGTTCTGCAATATTTAGGCCTGTACACATTCAGCTGCTGTGCTGTTGTCAGCCGAGAATCACTCACACTATTGGCTGAAAAATTGATGACGGTATGTTGCACATGCAACATGACGTCACCTCTCTGCTGCCGGCAGCATGGGCTGACGGGCTGTGCTGCTACGAGAAAGCAAGTGCAGAGATGCCGAGCCGTCAGCAAAAGCCATAAATGACGCATTAAGACACTGGTAGTGGCGCATGAAAGCAAATCACGTGCCAGATTTTTATTGAGCACTGCAGATAAATGAAATTTGGACACCATGTTGGCGCTATTCACATATATTTGGTTTCATAATTAATTGTCGATACAAGAAAAATACTTATTACTTTCGCACATTGTCAGTTAATATTTTGATAATATATCTAACTGCTTAAGTATTGTTTTAATAAAGAACATGAAGATGAGACGAAATATTTGTTTACAACGCCATATTTGTAAACAGTCAGCCAGTGCTGACATTTCTCATCAGCCAAATGTATACAGTTCCGTCAGCCAGAAGCGGTGGGCGGAGCCTATTTCAGCTGACAACAGCACAACAGCTGAATGTGTACAGGCCTTTTGCAATATATTGTTCTGTTATCATTAGGAGCCCCCCCCCCCTCCCCAGCCGGCGACCCAAGCATATCCGTCGGCGGTCGATCGGCCCGGTATCGTGTAACCATCGACACTGCTCCCCTGACATTGACACTGACGAGTGAGATTCTTCGACAGGAATAGATTTGGTACGGATTTGTCGCGATGCTATGCAGGGCTGCAATGTTATCGGTGAATCGAGATGAATTGTGTGGCGAAAAATGGTAGATGTCAAGACTGATAGAACGGACTTGGGTGCGGTGTTCTAGCTGGCATGGTCGGGTGTGGGTCGGTTCGGATTTATCTGATGCTAGATGTGGGCTGGTGCGGTGGCGCCCTTCGTGGCACCCGACGTCGCTCTTGATGCTCGTACTCGAAAGTCCATGCACATGTCACACTACTCCAAAATGCATCATCATACCTGCGTGAGGCCTATCGCCTTTGACCACGTAACACCCCGACGTCCACAGTGGAACAACCACGGCTACGACGTGGCCAAAACATTCGGCAAGTTCAGCCTGGTGTCTCCAGTGTGGCTGCAGGTCCGACCAACCGCGGAAGGTAGGCCCTCGGCCATCCAGGCGTCAGACTAGTATCTCGACCTCTCGGCTTCTCTTACTTCCTGCCTTTCAGCTCATCTAGCTATCGTTTTGCGGTAGCGTTGGCTCTGGTGAGTGGTAGTTATGCTCTATAAGCCATCACTTCTGCTGTTTTCCTCCACTATGTTATGGCTGGGATGTTTTAAGGCACCACCGTGGTCGTGTATTCACCTGCCATACCGTTTGACGTACTCGTGATCTACATCTGCGGTCACATGATCTCCGTGTACCGCCGGCAGGCTACACCATCACGGGTACTCACGATGTGGACGCCGGGTGGGTGGCCGACGTCAGGAAAACGGGCGCCGCCCGAGACGTCAAAGGTCGGTATCGGTAGAGGAGCGGACCGCTAATTTCTTTACAGTCCCTGACATCTAGCGACCCCTCGTCAGCGGGCAAATAGACAAGGAGACAGGCTGACAGGAATTGCTAGAATATGTGAGGGACTGTGAGGGAACTACTTAACCTTTGCTTGGTGAGCCAGAGCTTACAGTCTCGGATACAGCTGGCTAAATGTGCGGACTTTGTCGATCTTACATCATGATCATCATGGTCCGTCTCTAAAACGTGGTTTGCATATTGGTTTTGTTTTCCGAAACTTGTGAATGAATCCTCGATTAACTATTATTGACGTTTACCCGGAGACGCTTTGTGAAACTCCTTTTATCCATTCGAAGCTCGTCATCATATTCATGTCATCTCATCGCATCAGTTTAAGGACTGTTTGTAAAATGCGGTTTATCTAGCCTTGCCCTCAACCTCCCGCTACCGTCCTCCTCAGTCAGTTTCGACCCCACGCTAACTCTCCGACCGTGTTCCCGTTTCAGTCATTCCACGTCTCCTGTTCGAGGAATTCACCGGCCAGGACTACATGAAACTGTTCCAGCGGGACGCGCAGCGGAAGCAGCTGGCCGATACCATAGCGGAGGGAATTCAGGTGGGTGGGGCTGAGGTGAAGTGACGGCTCTATGAAGTGAAGTGAAGAGATTCCAGTGTGGGTTGGTATTGAGATGGAAGAATTGGACTTGGGGGGAGGGGGATAGAGAAACGGCTAGCGGGTTACGGTAGAGGGAATGAGTGAAATACTGAGACTGGCGGCGCTCGAGCCACCTGTACGGAAGTAGGTTGGATTCCGTGCCTTTTGATAGGAATTCCGTCCACTATTGCAGTAGTCCACTAAATCAGCCCCTTCTTTGATCTGTCCATCAATCGCCCCACGACTTGAGCTTATCACCTTCATAATGCCCCGTGTTTTCAGAGTCTGCAGATGGACGGCGCCGTGCTGGAGGTCTGGAGCCAACTGGGCGGTCAGCGGCGGCCCGATCTGGTAACTGTAGTTCGGGAAGTGGCCGCAGCGCTCCGCCACCGTCGCCTGATTGTGGTGCTGGCCATTCCTCCGCCCATCAACAGGGGGTGAGTGTTGCCGGTATTGGTGCCATAGGACAACGACAGACGTGAGGAATGGCAGTTTTGCAACCACTTCATTCTAGACATCTTGACAAGAGTTATATGGCTGGTCTGAATGTTTTCTTAACAAATTATTGCAAGAAACCGTGGCTAACCGCTTCCCTCTAATTTAGGGCTCTGTAATGGTTGTTTCGCTAACAGGGATCGATGAAGCGTTGACGCTGACCCATGGTTCACGGTGTGAGCTGGTTTTGTAGCTGCAGCATGCATTTTATTAATCCCCGAAATCGCGTGTGTGTTTCAGAGGCACCCCGGGATTCTTTTCGCGGGACGAGTTCTTTGCTCTGAAGGATGACGTGGACTTTTTCTCTCTGATGACGTATGACTACTCGTCTCCACGGCGGCCGGGTAAGAGCCGCAGAGCTGTTCAGACCGGGAATTATATTATAATTGCAGTAACAGATTGGCTTTGAATGGATGGGATGGTATCCCCAGGGCCTAGTGGCTAACTGGCCTGGATTTCTCCAGGATCTGTCCCGTTCACTGGTTTTAACATTCTCCTGGGTCTAGTATGGTCTGTTTGGTGGCGTCATGTTCAAACAGACTGTTTAACCTCTGGGGCTGTCCTGTCCCGATTTTAACTTCGGCCTTCGAAGCTTAGTCTGACTCCTAGGTCTTATTTCGTCCTCAGGCCCCAACAGCCCACTGAGCTGGGTGTGTCATTGATAAGTGGACAGCTGTCGTTCGTCTCCAGGCCTGACAAACAATTTGTCCCCTCTCACATGTCCTAACAGTCCACTGAGTTGAGTCTAACTCCGACTGTCCCGTCCGCAGGCCCCAGCAGCCCTCTGAGCTGGGTGCGTTAGTGAATATGAGTTAACAGTCGTACGTCCCCGCGGTCTGACCAGCCTTTGTCCCGTCCCCAGGCCCCAACAGCCCTCTGAGCTGGGTGTGTCATTGATAAGTGGACAGCTGTTACCCTCCAGGTCTGACAGACAGTTTGTCCGCTCCCACGTGTCCTAATAGTCCACTAAGCTGAGTCTAACTCCGGCTGTCCCGTCCGCAGGCCCTAACAGCCCTCTGAGCTGGGTGCGTTAGTGAATATGAGTTAACAGCTTTCATACGTCCCCAAGGTCTGACCACCTTTTTGTCCCGTCCGCAGGCCCCAACAGCCCTCTGAGCTGGGTGCGCCGCTGTGTGGAGGACCTGGCGCCCACATACAAGGGTCGGGACCAGATCCTGCTAGGACTCAACTTCTACGGAAACGACTACATTAAGTGGGTGACGGTGGAGCTGCGGTTATGCAACGGTGCATGGTTTCATATGATGACTTTATTCATTAATTCGTAGACATGCCAATTGCCAACGAATGCACGTCTTTAAAACAGCTTGTTATAATTGTCCCATAATTGTATACCTTATATAAATAGACTAAACTGATCCTTTTACTTGCCAAAAATTAGTTCGAAGTTTCTTTTCACTGTGTGTGAGCCCGTGCTCGCATGCGTCAACATAGATCTCGACGTCTACTTTATTAGTAAAAAATAACCCTGTTTCTTGGTTCTATGTACTAGAAAGTAGAAATGCCTCCTTTCCTCTCATTGAATCGTTAACCGATTTTCACTACACGCTCTTGTCTGTCTCCAGGGGCAGCGGGGGTCCGATCGTGGGCCGCCAGTTGATCGAGCTCCTGACGGGAGCCCAACAGACCAAGATCGTCTGGGACCGCGAGCACGCCGAACACGTGTTCCAGGTGAGTTGGAAGTTAGAGCACACGAAACGGGTGTTCCCGGCTAGTCGTAACTCAGTTATCGGAACGCAGTGGGCTTTTGGCACTTGGACGTTACACAGTTGTTTCCATTCTGTCGAAGACCTTAAAACACGCGGTCCAGGTAAGTGAGAGCACGTAGAACCTTTGTTTCCTGTTGGAATGGCTGGGTAAAGACTGCTGAATATCGAGCCGGTATTTGTTTCTGCTTCTTTCCCTGTTATCGTCAAACTTCGATCGACATCCATGACACGAAATGATTTATTTTGAATGCTCAACAAGCAGCCGTTTTCGATGGATTTCTCATGTAATTTCGTCGCCACTCTGTGGTTTCATACTGTCACCGCTCATCTGCTTGCATTACCAACCTTTGCTTCCCCCATTCTAACTCCGAATCTCCGTGTTATTCTTTTAGATAAAGGACAACGTTGGCCAGCACGCTGTGTTCTTCCCCACACTACTCTCAGTAAGGGAACGAGTGAAGCTGGCTCGGGAGCTCGGCACCGGGATCTCCATCTGGGAGCTGGGTCAGGGACTGGAGTATTTTTACGATCTCCTGTAGCGTATGTGAAGGCGTTAAGTAGAGGTGGTGAGGTGTGGGGGATGGGGAGAGGGAGGGAAGAGGGACTGGGTATTGCAGTGGTGTTGGTTATACGCTTATGCCGGGTGTGGTGTAACGCTGGGGATTTATGCGAGTGAATTGTGAAAGCAGTCTCATAGGCTGAATGAGCATCTCAACCGTCTCAATCTACAAATATTTGATGCTGTGTCGCAGTCTGAGTCCAAGGAGTGCAGTGCTGTTTCAGGACTATGCCGTGCTTCAAAGTTGATCCAGTAGGCCGGACGCCGGTGTACGACTACCGTGTTTGCAATAATGAATGATAGTGAGAATATTTAAACTCGCACTACGCCATGAGACTGGTGTGTCCTGACTCCTGAGCGATTTAAATGCTTGGAAATGAGGACGGAGGTGCTCGGCTTATTTCGGTTGTGAAGCGTGCGGTGTTCCTAGAACGCAACAGAGGCTAACCATTGAGTGTGGAAGCGTGCATAGTTCATCCATAAGTGCAGAGCCGCGTGTGCCACACGAGTGAAACTTTTACTGTATGCCTGGCCTATTCAAATACATTAGCCAGAGGGGTGTGGTAATAACTGGTGTAAGCAAATTGACCACGGTCAAAAATGCATTACCAGAATGCACTTAAGCGAACATTTTGGGATGGTCTCGTTCCTAAGTCGGCTAAGAGCTTCGGTCAAGAAAATAAATTTATCGTTGGCATACAGTAAAATACATACCAAACTCGGCCGGTGATAAATTTTCAAGACCTCAGTCCTTACTGATTTTTGAACTCGGCCTTCGGCCTCGTTCAAAAATCCAGTAAGGACCTCGGTCTTGAAAATTTATTTACACCGGCCTCGTTCAGTATTATATAGTACCGCCTGTTGAATTTGTGATAAATCGTGGCATTATTATGCACATCTTGCCTGCATGTGATGCCGTTTTTGCGTAGTCATTCCAATATGATCGAAAAACTGCGCATTTGGCTGTTTCCGTGTGTAGCTATTGTTCATGTGTGCAGTCCGACAAGCAGGGTTCCATTTCATGCGAAAATAGAGCGAAATGGCCCAATACAAATGTTTTCGCACGCATTCTCGAATCTACATTCTACAAAGGGCTGCGGAGAGAGGGCACATTATGAAAAGTTCTCTTAACCAAAACTCGTCCTTTGTTTTGTGTTTATTACATTTCTATCACGAACACTCTCACTCTACAAAGGTTTGTATGATATAGCGTGGCACACCCAACGTCGCAACTCCCTCTGCTGCCAATTCCAACGACACTCGTATGAGAGATCAAATTAATCACGAACGCACAGAATATAACGAAACACACTATTAGGTATTGACTGAACCTAGGTATTGACGGAGTTCTACAGCCTTGAACTGAACCCCTGGACTGAACATAGCCAACGGTTTGGATAAAGCCAACCAATTCAGCAACCAAAAAACTCCACCCGAAAACAAGTGACAAAATACCTCTGCTCTTTGGAATGCATGTTGTGTATACGAGAACATACCCTGACGCGCTCGAAACCATTATTGCGTACTTCAGCAAATGCCAAACGTTATTGCGAGTCCCAGCGAAACTATCAATGCTCACATACTGTTCGCATGGTGACTACGGGATTTTTGCCCCGTGGGTAGGCACTTCAGAAGCCAAACAGCACACGTCCCAGCTCCCAGGATCCCTGCAAACTGCCCGCGAACACCACTCAGGAATCCAGCGCCATTTATGTACTAGGCTGTACTGCGACACTGAATCGTACAGCTGTGTTGCACAGTTAAATGCCGACTGCTAGCAATACGGTTGAACCACTTCGCGCCCCAAAACACCGTGATCAGTTCCCACAAATTTCAGACCCGCAAACTCCACGCCTGACATCTCGTTACTGTGGACGCGACCTCGTAAAGGAAACAACCCGAACTCCCCGACATCCCAATACACTCAGAAATGCCCATCCATCAACTAATAAGACATGAGTAAGTGTCCTCTGGTAACACAACACACCGGAATGCAAGAATCCTGTCATAAACCGCATCAAATGAATTCTCACAAATTCCTCTAGTGTAGCACCAACCGCGAGACCCTAGTCAGTAGTCGTGCAACTCCTTGATATTTGAGCCTCTAGCATTGTTCAGTTTCATGAGAATGTTGATAAAACTCCGAGCCTCTATTTGTTACTTGTTATTAATGTTAATGTTGATTGCACCGCTCTTCGAAGGTTGAAGTTCTTCGATGCAACTTACGGGTTCAAAGCTGAAGTTTCTTCGGTGTGTCATATCGCGGGGTCAGAACAGGGGCTGAGGCTCCCAAGAAATACAGTTTTGTCTTGCGGGCTCGGAAGTTGGCACACTGATGTTCTCCGAAGGTGCAATACATGACTCACGGGTACAGGTCTGTATTGTCGCTTTGTCGTCCTCACATAGGTCCGGTGCGTCGCTCAGGATCGCTAATGGCCTGGCTTTGGTCACAGGTGAAGGCCACGGTGAGCGCGAACCGCACCCCGTCTGAGACGGGCTCCACCTGGTGGGGATTCTCCCAGCCGGCAGTGAACGCCGAGACGCGCCCTGGCGGCGACCGGGGCAGAGGTCAGAACTCGGGGCATCAGCGGGATCATGGATCAGAAAGAAAGGTTGATTTAATTCATTGGCAAAAATTGTTATTTGCATTCACAAGTAAGAGCACTTAAATACAGCGTTCAGTACTTGTATATAACTGTTATACCCGGTACGTGTAAAGCAACGATCGAGTATTCAACATACGTGAGTCCTTTACGAGCTGGGGATACTCCCGACCACAACCAGTCACGCATAATTAACATTGGGATTCGTGTTCTGACAACAATCGTAACATGATCTACACCTATACATTTATACAATTCGATTCAGCTCACAAATTTGTCACTGCTAAGCGACACCACTTAAAAAGACGGTCTCATAATTATATGAGGGACTCAAAAACCCCACAGAGAGCTCGAACCTGTAACACTTCCAAGTCCCCACGGCCCACTGACCCACTGACCTGTCTTGGGCTCGACGGTACGGTTGGCGTCGTTATCGTTGAAGATAAACCGTCCACCCTGGAAGTCGTGTCCGTAGTCGTTTAGGTACACCAAACTGGTGTAGTGAAACGAGGGATACGTCTCCTGCGGGAAATAAGGCGAATGTAGCTGTAAGAAACAATCCGCTGTAACCAGGGGTGCGTCTCCTGCGTAGAATGAAACTAATGTATGTAACTGTGACCAAGCTAGCGGAACAGACGATACATTTCGGACGGTACTCTTCCGAGAGGATTTTATCAAAGAACAATAAGTTGGAGTTATTAAGATACGACGAATAAAAGCAGCGATATTGAGTGAGGCGGTTCAAGAACGAACTATAAATGATCTCGCAGAAAAAAACTTACTTAATTCTTCAGACCAGCCTTTTAACAGGAGTTCACACTAAAGCTATTTGTCATTCACACCACCAAAATGAATCATTTATGTCATATACGCCGTCGAGTATTTAATAGTTAATTTCTACGCTCTGCAGCAGTCATGCAGCACCGCTCACAAACTATACAGTATACAAGCCTTCAAATTCACCCAAAGGTCACCGAGTTACGGGACGACGGCGTGGTGGCGGCCTTGGCCGCCGGCCTCCGCGCCCAACGATTACGACGAGCGTTCAAGCCTCTCAAGGCATCTGAATAATCATTACCTTATCGACGTGCGTGTGCCAGTACTCGTCGTGGACGGTACGCGCTTCCTTGGTCGTCATTCGGGAGAAGAAGGTCGGTTTGGCGAGCTTCAGCACTCCCGGTGCTAGTTGGAAATGTTCCGAGATGAAGTGCGCCACGCGCTGCTTCACTGCCCTGGCGAGCGACGGGGATGGTCAGATAGGTAGTTTGGAAACAGGAATGGGATAAACATGTGTATGTATCACACTCCAACAACGTCTTTCCAACTACGTCCTACGTCCTACGTCCACGAGTGGTGGATGGTTAGAAGCCACGAAAACTCGCGACACAGGTGTGAGGACGAGGGCTGAACGACGAGAAAGATAGAGAAAGAAACACCGCAAAAATGCGGAAAATGAGAAATGATCCTAGTCAAGGACGAACTATTCAGAAAACCAGCGGTTTCAATTTATCTACATTTTTACATCCCTTCCAGACGTCCACCTTTCGCCTCCTACCTTTCTGCCCCATTTATCTTATCTAACCATCCATCGCTTCCCACTCACTTGTAAATACGCAGATCGGACTCGCTAACCAGGTGCTGTGACTCGGGCAGCTGATACACGTTCACAAACGAGCTGCCTTTGGAGAGTGCTCCGCTGTGGAGGTCCAGGATACTCGCGCCGCCCGATGAGCCACCTGGTAAAGCAAAGATCATGGATGAGGGAGTGTTTCATCCATGGCATATGATTAAGGATCACACAGGATGTAATTGGGGAGACGGCTACTAAAATATAACAGCGATGCGTATTCAGAAATAACGGTAACAGGAACAAACTCAGTGGGCCAGCATTCGAGATTTAAGTTTGGGCCTAGTTTCAGGTGGGCGTTTGAATATCTTACTTTCTTGTATCGTAGTTGCGGCACTCGGTCGCCAGGGGCGCTAGTCCCGCGAGCGGCCTTGACCGCTCGCGGGCCGGCAGTTCGGTCCCGCTCTCCGATCGGTGCGCGCGCTCCGCTGTGCTGGAGTGTGGCTGTGGGTAGTCGCCGGTATTTTAGGCGACTGCCAACCCCGCCTGTTCGTATGGCGGATGAGAAGAGTGACCGTGGCGACAGTGTGGCAGACCTGTCAGCCAGGTTCGATCGCTTAGAAGAGATCGTGGCACGGTTAGCGAGTGACAGACCCGCACTTGGGCATTCCGCCGCGTCAGCTGCATGCGAAAACGACAGCGCCGGTCGTCGGCAAGTCGTGCGAGAACAAGTGTTGCCAGCGCCGGGCGCTGCCTTCAGCTCTTACAGTGAGCTACAGAGTGAGTTTCGCGCTATAAAAGAGAGTGTCGCCAAGATCAAGCTACCAGCTGATTTGGTGGTCGGAGACAGCCGTGCTGGCATCGGTCGAGCTGATCTCCCGAGGTTTACCCTCATCCAGAAATCGGCGAGATTCCAAGAAACCATCCTCAAGCTCTTGGCAGCTGAAGTTACCGAGGCTTCTCTTTCGAGCGTCACAACGGTGGCACTTGCCCACCTCCGTTTCCTCCAAGAGGAGTACACGAACCTTCTCGTGAGCAGTCAGTTTGACGAGGGCACTTCCAAGCTGTTCGCCACCCTGCAGCAAAACCCAGCCGCCTTCCCACCGAGTGCCTTGGAGAATCTCCAACGGGCAGTTTCCATCGCCGGTGCCCGCTCATCTCGGCAGGTCAGTTCGGCGGTGCCGCCCCGTGGCCGGGGGCCACGCCAGCCGTTCGGCTTCGGGCGGGACGGCGGCGGCGGCGGCTTCGGCTTTGGACGGTCTCGCCGGTTCGGCCCTGGCACGCTGCCAGCTGACTGGACTGGCGCCCGTGACCGCTCTGACCCAGCCGGAGCCCTGATCGGCGGCCGGCTAGTACTCTTGCCCGCGCTCACATACGTGCACGTTACCCCGGCAACGGGCTATTGACCAATGAGAAGCGAGAAAAGTGTTACGTCACTGCGATTTTTCATATACCTGTGCCCCCCGGACGTGACGTAGTGTGCTCGCGCGCGTGCAGGGTCTCTGCGATCGAAAAAGAGCGCTAGCAGCGCGCCACTCGACGCCGCAATTGTCAAAAGCGGCGTGTTAGTATGCTTTATTATGAATGATGTGTGTAAAAGTGAGTTTTTATGTTGTTTATTTGGAGAAAATGGTTGGAATAAATTAAGTTATTTTTATTTCTGTTGGTTAGAGTTTTTATTCAAAAGATTTCGGTCTATACCATTGATATTTACTGGAAATACCTTCGCTTGAATAAATTGCAGATATTTGGCAACTGAAGTGTCAGGTAAGCCTAAATGATTGTAAAAAGGTAAGATACACCCTGATTATCATTTGAGAAACGAAAATATATGAATTTTCCTTATAAAACTCGCTCAATATGCTACTCCGCGGTTTATGCCCCGAGGGTGTCCGAGGGTTCCCGTTAGTTTGTCGTTGGCGCTCGGCTCGCGCGCGAGCCGACGTCACCGCCTGTGACGTCGGCTCGCGAAATACGTCATACCCTGCACACAAAATAGCCGGCTGCCGAACAGCGCTCGGGTCACGTGACCTGGCCCTGCCGCGGCGCACGGGCGGCGCGAGGGACGTGCCGGAGTGATTCAGAGTGACAAGACGGACGTGCACGTAACAGGTAACGTGACCACAGACGTGAGTGATGCCGCTGTGTCCAGCCTTTTGGGAGCGCATTGGAGCTTCTGATGTGGTGATAGACTGGGTGACACATGGCATTACCATTCCCTTCGCTCGTGTGCCGGAACCCTCGGTGTTCAATAATCCACCCTTTAAAGGTAACGAAAACAGTTTCATTCGTTCTGAACTTCACAAGCTGCTGTCAAACGGTGTTGTGGAATGTGTAAGTGAAATGCCGCGATGTGTGTCGCCGTTGAAAGTCGTGCCAAAAAAGAGTGGCAACTTTCGCCTTATCTGTGATCTGCGTTACGTCAATGAACATTGTGTCATACCTCACTTCTCGTCAGAGGATGTCTCTGTCCTCCCACAAATCATGGGCACTCATGATCGTGCGGTTAACCTCGACCTGCGTGATGGTTTTTACCACTTCTCTATCCACCCCGATTTTCGCACTTACCTGGGGTTCCAGTTCGAGGGACGCTGGTACGTCTGGTGCAGACTTCCCTTTGGATGGTCGGGATCGCCATACTACTTTCATAAATGCATCCGCGTCATCATTGAGTACTTGCGTGGCGTTCATCAAATGTCTCTCATGGCGTTTGTCGATGACTTTCTTCTCACTGGATATCAGTCTGACATTTTACCCAAGCTTCAAATTCTTCTCGACACCCTGTCTCAACTTGGTCTTACCGTAAATCACGAAAAATCTGTTCTTCGTCCTTCAGATGTTGTTACGTACCTTGGCTTTGTCGTCCGCTGTGCTGGACCGGACGGACCTCCCGTCATTACCGTGCCGAAATCCAAGGTATCCAAGTTGAAACAGGATATAACACGCGCCCTCAAACGCTCACGCATTTCAGCGCGGCTTCTGGCACGCTTTGCAGGCCGTTGCATTAGCATGCTTGCCGCCGTCTTCCCGTGCAAGCTCAAACTTCGAAACGTTTACCGACTTCTCAACTCCAGGCACTCGTGGGAGGCCTCGCTGGAGTGGTCGGCAGGAGCAGTGGAGGATCTGACCTGGTGGGTTCGGTCCCTCGACAGCTGGAACGGGAGGCTCCTGCTGCCACCCGCGCAGTTCGACTTACAACTGCTGACGGACGCCTCGGAGTCCGGCTGGGGCGCTGTGCTGAGTCCACCAGCCGGTCGTACCGCCTCGGGCTTCTGGTGTCCCACGGTGAGCAGCGAGTCGTCCAACTTCCGTGAGCTTTTTGCTGTATATCTTGCACTTCTCTCCTTTCAGTCGTCACTTGCAGGCAACAAAGTAGAGATTTTATCCGACAATGTTACCGCCGTAGCGTTAATTAACAAGTTTGGCTCGTCTGATCCACGTCTTGATGCCATAGCTCAGGCAATTTGGTCGTTTGCATTGCAGCACAATGTGATGCTTGCAGCTCATCACATCAGCGGGATTTGTAACGTGGAATCCGATGCCCTGTCCCGGCAGCCGCTGCGGCACGAGTGGTGCTTACACCCCGCGGTGTTTCGGCAACTGGAGCGCATGTTTGGACCGCACTCCATAGTTCGGTTCGCGTCGTTTACGACGGCGCTCCTACCGGTCTATAACAGCCGCTTCGACCGCACTCCATAGTACAGACGTTCCAAATGTCTGAATTATCCAAGCTGAACATGTCAAGGATATCGGAGCTCGAAGTTTCATTAGCTGTCAAAAGCAATGGCCAGATTCGATGTCTTCCGGACGACGAAGAATCTACATACGTCGTCCGGCCAATGGCCCTCGAGGTCGGCGGGGGCTGGGATGCGGCCATCGAACGGGATTGGCCGGACGATGCAGAATCCTCGTCGTCCGGGAGACAGCAAACACGCCCTATATCTGGGATGTTACCTACCCAGAGATGTTAGAAAGCTAAATCGAACTGTCCACGACACCCACCTGTCAGCTGGAAGGCCCTGGTGGCGATATCCCGGAGCGCCTGCGCCTCGTGTGGTGTCACCACTTTGTCAGAGATAACCCGCCCGCAGCGAGACGGGGTGCAGCCTGGGGAGAGAGAGAGAGAGGGGTATAATATGACCCGAACGCAGCAGGATGGGGTACAACCTGGGGGAGGGGTAGGTGTTTTAGATTATCTGTGGAGTACAGTGAGAACTGAGACAACTGAAATGTTTGACAGATATCTTGGGAAAATCAACTGCATTCATGGGAAATAAATGTTTAGAGCAGGTCCTGGATAGTTGGTCATAAACTAGCATTAGTGAGAAGCTGTACTGACCTGGGTAGTTGGCAATCTCAGCAGTGTACTTGTCTGAGCATGCCACAGGCTGTGATCGCTTCCCAATGTTGTCCTTTGCTGTGGCCAGCTCCAGAATCTTATCCTGGATAGCAATAGGCAGCTCAGCCTAAAGTTCAGCCACACACAGCCCCAAATGAAAGTCTCAAAACAAGTGAAATAACACTCTCTAATGATTTGTAAAGAGAACAAACAAACCCATCAATAATAGGCATTCCTTTCTCCTACGGGTATCAGTAAGCAAAATGGTCTGCTGTCTGGTGCAAAGCTTGTCTTGTCTTATCATAACAGACCAGCTGGTATAGCAGGCACTAGAATTATACCCTTATACACCTGCCTGCAGTATCAGTTAAAGTACACCCATTACACACCTGTCTGGTGTAAAAGTACACCCCAGCAGCAGCTAGCAGCACAGCCAGCCTCAACAGCAACCGCTGGATGGTAGCCTCGGAGAGGCGGCGTTTGCCAGGTCCAGATGCATCCCCAGAAGAGTGGTCACCTCCTCCACTATTCCCATTGCTCTCCTTTGCAGGACCATTACGAGAGCTGTCTGGCTGAGCCGAGGAGGTCGGCTGCTTGCGCTGACCCTGGTGACGCTTCTTCAGGGAGCCAGTCATCTGTGTTGGGAAAAATAGCTTTATTATGAGCCCATCACCTTTTAGATTCACAGGTGAACAGAAGAATTAGCTCCTTCAATTTTATCCTTAATCTCACCTAAATGAATTTTTTTTTTAAATGCACCCAAAGAAGCATTAAATAATTAATTATTCAGGAATGCTTTTCACCTGTTTTAAGTGAAAGTGGCTGGTACTCGACACCATCATCAATTCTTGAGAAACAAGTGGTTTTTAGTTCAGGGACTTTCCATGCAGAACTGATATGATTCTAAATTCCCATAGAATATCCACACACCAGGGTAAAATTTAGCCACCAGATAAGGAGACACTCATGTACATACCTTGGGAGCGTTCAGTGCGTAAAATATTCATAAATAATCAATTATTTACCTTTTATGTGCCATCCGTATACCACCGGCGGATTTGTCAGAAACGTCTTCAGCGCGCATCATTTGCAAACATTTGGCAGCCGGATCCAAATATGGCAGCGCCTTCGCTAGCTTCATACGCGACGGAATCCCTTCACGCAGCAGACTACACATCGTTTACGACGGGACCATTGCATCTCAAATCGCATAGAAAGTAATTAGTAAACCGTCACAGAGACTTAAAAAGCATTCAGCATTATAATATATTCGTTTAGTTCGAGCTTAAATAATATAATGACATTCCCACTGCAGCTGATCATCCCGCTACTAAAAGCTGCGCACATTCGCAGAAGTTACGAGAAAAAGCCCGATCGTGACCATCATTCCGCCTCGAATACCTCCATCTAGCTGCTCCTCCAGCTCAAACTCGGCAGTATCAGCCTCTCCACGCACCATTTCGGCGTCAGACGCCCGCGACACTCGCCAACGAGCCACGGGAAGCTCACAGACCCGTTTTCCCTCCATGATAGCGAGGAAATCGGCGCAGAACGGAGACAAACGCGGCGCCCCGGCGGCGGCGGCGGCGGCACAGCACGGTTACAAAACTCTGCCGCGGCAGCGTTAGCGGCTCGTCGACCGTCAGAGATCCCCAGAAAGGATGGTGCCCACTGCCCTGTGACGATAAATACAGCGTGCCGTGCACTCCGTGATCGAGTTGGGAGGGTCCGCGGTGCGACCGGCCCGCTCGAATTGGGTCTGTCCCAGGCGAGACTAGGTCAGGTCATCACCCGCAGACGGGAGGCCGTCAGCCGCCGGCATATACATCTGAAACGGAATACAAAACACTGCAGTCAGAATAGTGAGTGACGAGTGGAACAGAACTGCAGCAAATGGAGTTAGCTAATAATTAATGAAGCGGCACGACCAGTTGCCTAGACCCCAGTCACCAACAGAACAACGGCACATCAGTCAAATAAAAAATCAAGAAAATAATAGGAGAAATAACTTGTTTGCGGATTGAGCCAGAGGGTAAATCGGACATCCATCAGTTGGATTTCGAAGTCAGGCAGGCTCTAGAGTAGACGATGAAACCAAATTTCTCTTGAAAGGCGAAGCTGTCATAAAACGAGTTGAATGTGTCAAACTATTCGTGATAAAAATCATCAGACACATCGCTCAGCTGCCGTTCATTCAGTTCCTATGTCAGCTCGGATAACAATTCGTACCTGTTGTCGAGCGTCCCGCTCCGCTACTGGTTCCTCTGCTGACTGGACGCTGCTCCCGGACCCGCGCCACTGTCGGCCGCCGCGGCCCGCTCCGCCAGGAACCGGTCAAACTCGCTGTTTGTGAGCATACCATCCCGCGCCTCGTCACCACCCTGCGGGGTCAGGTCAGGGGTCAGAGGTCAGGGGTCAGGTCAGGGGTCAGAGGTCAGAGGTCAAAGGTCAGAGGTCAGAGGTCAAAGGGCAGGTCAGGTCAGATCTCTGAGAGAAGGTTCGCCATAGGAGGGAAGGTCACAGGTCAGATGTCAGGGGTCCAAGGTCAAAGGTCAGAGGTCATGTCAGATGTCAGGGGCAGAGGTCCGAGGGAAGTTCAAGCATAGGAGGGAGGGTCACAGGTCAGAGGGGGGTCAGGCAAGAGGGCAGGTCAGTCAAGGCAGATTTGGGCACCAGCAGTCTGGTTGAGTGGAATAGCAAAAGAGTATCACGAGTCACGACAGCTAACGATAGTGTAAGGATGCAATAAATGGGACGGTAAGTGTCGATTGAAAGTGACTTGCACCGATTGTCGAGTCTAGCTGCAGGACATACCACCAACAGAAAACCGATTATAAATGAGAATCAGTCAGCGGTTAGATATTTCTGCGCATCCCCGCCGATTTTCCGCGCACGATACATGGTTATGAGCACACTGTGACAGCAGAAATGCGAAGCAACAAACGCAACAGAGGGCCATGAAAGCTGATACGCAAAAAGCGGAAAAGCAATGACTTCTCCGTAAGCAGCACTTGTGGTTGTGGACGTTGCATTAGCAACTCAAAGTAAGCAGCTCACAGCTGTTAGCGACGAGTTACTGCTCGCCTAGCTCTCAAAAAGAGGAGAAACAAAGATTCAGCAAGCATTAATTCATGCAAATGATCTTAGTTCTGAGCCATATAGCAAACTCGCCGGCTAGCTTTTCAACGTCACAGGAAAATATTAACTGGTTAGTGGGTAGAATGCAGTAAAAAGAAGGTAAGGTTAACATTAGTGAACAAATGAGGTTTAGTTTGATACTGAGAATGGTTAGTCAGCTTCGAATTACTCTAATCATTTACCGCTTCTTTCAGCCATTTCTCCATTTCGTCGAAATCCTTCTCTTGCTGAAGCTGTGGACAGACGAGGATAGCGGTGCCCAGTAAGCGTGGAACACTGACACACGCAGCATGGCGACCCCGACATCGAACAGGCGGGCAGTCAGCTGTCTTCGCCCCAGTAGCAGTGGAGGCAGGGACATTGCAGCAAACTGTGTTGGCATGGAATATCGGGAGAAAGCATCGCACTGAACAGCACAGTGTTGCAGAATTGAGTGACGTTACAAAGTAACCAGAATGTATGCAATATTTTGAAGAGGACGAAACAATAAGCGATGTAAAAATAAAAGAGCTGAATCATATTGAAATGTAACAAATCAAATGCAACGGCGGTTCAAGCATTTGACTTCTAAAAAACTGCGAAGCAATTAAGGAGAAGCAGCGTTTTCCCTTTATTTGATGTAAAGCCAGCAGTCGGCATTCATAAGCAAAAACAAAAACAGCGTTCATAAGCATGGAAAATACGGACACACGCAAGGTCGGCATTATTCAGTCTAAAGGCTGCCCCACACTGGACCTCGCATGCGGGTTGCGGGTTTTTGGGTTTTCGGGTTTCTTCAAAATCAAATACTACAATCTAAGCTGAGAGACCCACACTATCATCTAACAAGCGAGTCTGCATGTTTTTAGCTTGCGAGCGACCTTCCATCGCATTCCAAAAGTTGATTTTGAGTCAACTTTTGATTTTCCTCGCTGCGAGGTCTGCGAGTTCTGCGAGGTTTGCGGGTTTTTCGTTGGAGTCGAATTTTGGTTCGTTGCGCTGGTATTGCGACTATATGTAAGTTTCTGAAGGTGTACCGGCTTCACTGCATTCATGAAGTTACCATAAGGTAGCGGTCTAATCACTCTATGAATTAGTATTATGCCCGCAAACTCAAAACCCGCAAACTCACAACCCGCATGCGAGTTCCAGTGTGGGGCGGCCTTAAGCCACGGAGAGCATTGCGATAGCTGAGTTACTTACCTAGTTATGGTTCATGTAAGAAAAGTAGCTGATGCATGAATAGGTGCAAAATGCAGAACAAACCAATGACTCAACGATTGCATGGAAAGTACGGTAGTTACGCTTGCCTTCATAATGAGAAACTGTGTATAGTTTGGAGATAGGGAGGAGCACTTCAAATAAATACGGCTTTGTCGCCTGTTGCGCAAAACTGAAAATTTCAGTCAGATGAGTTAAATTGCATTTATTACAATAGTGTGAACTCATAGCTTCCGAAGTCATTCCATCAAAATATGGTCTGGTATAGAATGCTAGGCTTAGTTGTGCTAGTCTGAAGTTGGGCTAGGTAAACTGGGGTAGTAACCAGTTAAAAGAGTAAATCCACTTCACAACTACAGTCAGCAGCGATCATTCAGCGGGCAGTGCCATTAGCTGACCAGTGCATCTCAATCTACAGGGTCTTTCATAATGAATGTTACTTTTGAACATTTAGTTAGGAGCTCTTAATTTATCACTTCTGCGTGAATTTTGTGCCTTACATGGACACATCACATAGCTCATTCAACACAAACTGTGTGACTTTGGCATCCACAGAGCGCAACCACAGGCTGCGAGCTGTGGACTTCACATCGACTCAGTCACAGTCTGCTCTGGCCATTGATGAGACCACGTTCTTAAAACACAGGATGTGACTGTGACCATGCTGTGTCAGCCACACAGTTAGTCAGACTGTGATTGTGGCGCCTGTGACGGCCAGCAGGTCAATCAACGTCTAAGAGCTTTGGAGACGCAGCCACATATAACAGGCATGCTCTGATATAAGCTTTGGGTTCAGCTGCAACTACAGGCTGCGAGTCCGCCCTGCATAGCTGCTGCCCTGGGTCAGGCACAAGCGGGTTATTATAAGTCAATGGACAGCCATGCACTAGGGTCGGTTAACCAGGGGCGGGATACTTCTCTGACAGAACGGGACTCCGTTGGCACAGTACGTACCCGCAGTATTGGTTCCTGCAATCGGCATGGACGTTAGCGGTGAGTCTGTGACGCCGTTCATACGGTGAATGAGAACCTATCCGCTCACAAAGTCTGGATCGTCAAAATGTACTCAGCGTAGTATTTTTAAGGCCGAAGAGCTCGCATCTGCCGATTATTTTTAAATTTCGAGAACGTCTGGCGAACAAATAGCTAGCCAAATGTGGGTTGTACGGGCGGTGTGGGGATAATGGGAGGGAGGTCGTGTGGGTCGGTGGTGGGGGCAGCGGGTAGACTGTGAGAATAAAACGGGGGGAGGCATTAAGGAAGTAATAGTGGGTAGCAGTGGGGACAAGAAGGCAAGCCTGCGGTAGCCAAATAAGGAGTGTGGGCAGGATGAGGTCGGTAACGGCAAGCCTGAGGCTCGTGGCAGCAGTAGTATCATATCCTGGTTACTTGTCTATACCGGACGGGTACTCACGATATTGTCCGCAGCGGCGCCGTCTGTACGTCTGTCAACGGACAGATACAAAACACGGTCAGAGTCGGTGGCACAAAAGAGCAAGTACATACATACAACCAGTCGTCTGAGGTATTATAAAATAACGGTTCATTATGGCGCAATCGGACTAAAACAGTAACCTGAAAACGAATGTGCCTGACATTTGCCGGCAGCTCACAGCTGATGCTAGTTACTCAGATTTACGTCCAAGCAGCCATAATTTCCACAGAAAACTTAAAATGTGCCATAAAAACGTTGACTAAGGCCGGCTCAGGTAAAAATGCGTGGAGTGAATACATGCCACTGCACCTAAAATCCTCACTCTGCCTTGCTCTCCCAACAGGCCTCGTTGACGGTGTCTCTCGGTTGTCCGTTACTCACGAGGGCTGCGCGGGGGTGACGCCGGCCGCTCCGCCGGCTGCCTCCGCGCCGGTGACGTTCGGGATCCTGGACACCTGCTGGAAGGTACTGCCGCCGCCGCCCACCGCTGGAACACAGAACAGAAGTCAGTACATAAATAGAACACCGCAATAAGCATTTGACACTAACATAAGATTATATAATACATGAAAAGCGGATAGCACACAACAAAACGTCCTGTTTAACTGCTGTCAGTAGGAAACAGGATCGGAAAATTTATAATTTTCATTCGCGGCGTTTGTTGAGACTACTGACCCTCCTGAGTGCTGACTAAAGTGTGTGTGTGTAGGGGGGGAGAGGGGGTATGCATCTTTTTTGTCGCATGGCGATGCTGAAAAAACAATGATGATGATGATGATGATCATGATGATAGCTTTCCTCTCTAATTCACAAACCATGATCACCGCAATGCCACAAAGACAGCCTCACATACCTAGTCCCTCCATCTGTCGTGACACCGTCTCGGGGTCATCTCCGAGGTCAATGAGGGCCCCTCCGTCAGCAACTGCGGCGGCAGCTGCGGCGGGCGGCGGGCCGGAGGACGAGGGTGACGCGGCAGCCGGCCGGCGGTCCGGGGAGCCAGAGTTACCCGAGCGGCCCCGCTCGAAACGCTCGTACCTGCGACGAGAGGGTGGGGGGTGGGGTGGGGGGGGGGGGGTAAAGTCAAATGGGAGCCGTCAAGAAATGCAGCTTGTGGGTGTGTGTTGGTGTGGGGGAGGGATAACAAATCAGGTCATGAACGGGGAAGAAGGCTGCAAAGGTGATACGCAAAGCTATACTCGAAGCTACGCAAACTAAGGTGCTGAAAGCACATAATCGATCTCCACGATGGTGATATACTGGCATCTTAAAGTATAGGTACAGCTACCATGACCATCATTGCTTTAGGTGAATATTCAGCTTCTACACGAGTACTGACCGCAAACCAGCCACCATACGTTATGGAAGACCCACTCACCTGATGAAGGCGTTGTTGAGCTCGTCGTTGAGTCTGAGCAGTTCGGCGGTGATATCGTCCCGTGTGACCCGTCCCACCAGAGCCACCAGACGCTGCTGCATGGCCCGACATGTCTCGGCCAGGTGCTGTGCGAAGGGTACAGAAGCAGTGAGGATACGCTTTACAGTCTAGTCATCGCGAATGGTACAGCATACTGAAGAATAGCCAGCGATCAAATATATGACGACGAATAGAAGAACAACGACGAAATGAAGAATAGCTAATGAGCCACATTGCGTAATGCGTATGTATGGATAAATTCCACTTAGAATTACGACGTTTCTGCTCATACAGCCAAAAAACATTTGGAGAGCTACCCCGACTCCCAAACCCTATCCTCCCTCTTCAAGCGCTCTTCCGTCACAATATGTCATTGACGCATTCTACCGTCCCTTTCCTACCGATGTCTTCCAACATCCAATCCACCATCTCTCACGATCTCCTACCATCCCCTTCCACTCTCGTCTTCTACCACCTCACCTTCAGTAGCTGCAGGTCGTCCTCGGACGCCGTGCTCGGCTTCAGGGTGGACAGCATCTCGTTCAGCACGTGCACATTGCCGTCCACAACGTGAATCTCCTTCTTTAGCTTATCAGCCTGTCGGTAAGTGATGGTAGAGAAAGGTTACTCATATAGGGTCACCGTGACTCAGGATGAGAATATGGATCGTCTATGGCTACTAAAATTGATATTCCCGATCACAGCCTGTTTTCTTATGGATGGCAGTTAGCTTACTAATCGTCTGAACAAATCATAAAACCCTGACTCCCGGAGCTTCACAAGATAAACAGATGAGTACATACGGAAACAAGCTGCCGTTCTGTTAGCTCCGTTCATACATAAAGAAACAAGCAACGAGTTTGCAAGCTGAACATGAAGCGCACTTGCATAACAAACAAACTAGAGTATGTCATCAAACTACCACGCACTAAAACTAGCTATCCTGATGCGAGCGATTTTCGGTGAGTCGAGTTCACAGTTTAATCACTTGGCCAACGCCAAATGTAACCGTCATTTAGTCGCCACCGAATAGGGTATCAGTTGCCACTCGCGGTTATCACTTCTAACCTGTTCGGCAGTGAGGTCCAGCGGCTGGGAGCCCTGTGAGTCGGGCTGTGACCGGTGTGATTATAGTTACCGTTTTCAATGCCTACCTGTTCGGCAGTGAGGTCCAGCGGCTGGGAGCCCAGTGAGTCGGCCGGTGACCGCCGACCGGTGTGTTCACAGTCCCTAATATAGTTACACTAACCTGTTCGGCAGTGAGATCCAGCGGCTGGGAGCCCTGTGACTCGGGCTGTGACCGGTGAGTCTGTCCCGCAGACGGGGAGGCCGCCGGGGCCGGGGCGTGCGCTGGTGTCGACTGTATAAAAGGTACAGAGGAAGGTCACAAGGGTATAACGGAAACCAACAAAACAAGAGGGAAAAACATTTTGGTAAACGATGGGGGAATGCAATCTATCTCAACGTCCATAACTATTTCGGCAATTACAAAATAACAATATCTTTTACGCCAAAATTTAACTCCGCGCGACTGCTTAATTATGACCAAGCTGCTGAGACTAGCGCTCAACGCCATACAACCCTCCCTCCGCCATCCCATTCCCGCATTGCCTAAATAGTAATGAGAAATGGGCAATGTTGAATGGGATGGTGGAGAGAAGGGTTCCGTGGTGCTGAGCGTCACCCGCGCTCGGGGCTGCGCAGCCAGCGTTACCCACTCGCCCTTCATACCCTCTGCGGTGTGATGATGGGCGCCGCGGCCGAGTCGCCTCCCTCTGGGAACTGCACTCCCTTGGCCAGCAGCTCGTCATACACAGCCGCCACGCCATTCAGGTCTGGCTGGCCGCGGAAAGTCACCGCCCAGCTGCGCACGAGGCCGAGCACCTTCTCCTGAACGGCCAGCGGTGGCTCATTCTTCGGGCCTGTGGGGGTGGGGTGGGGTCAGTGGAGGGGGAGAGGGGGGTCAGAGGGGGCGCAAACGGGGCAGAGAGCTCAGGGTCACGGGAAAGCCGTCAGAAAATGGGTACAGGATGGTCAGAGGTAAAAAAGGAAGATGAAGGAGCGGTAAGTCTACGAAAAAAAAATATAGACAGGGACGTGGAATGTGAATAACAAGAGGAAAGTAAACAATAAAATAATACATACAAAGAAAACAAACTGCAAAATGTTACGTACATAAGCGTGAGGTAGTAGACAAAACATGTAGTTTACGGGACAGGGGAGGAATGGGTAAAAAAAAGACTGGAAAGGGATGGTATTAAACGAAGGTAACAACTAACATAAAAAACGACGATAAATATAAAAAACAACACAAACTAAACATCAGCAGCTACTCCCGAATAGCAGTAAGCGAAACTCAGCGCACTGAAATATAACATAGTAGCTGATGCATTAATTGCCCCTGAGTGTTAGTGGTTGTTTGAATGGCATTCCAAACAAAAGTAGACATATGCTGAAAAAAGATGGTTGATAGCTTGATACAGGGCGAAACATATCAATCGTGGAATGGCGTACCGATTCGAGGCTACCAGACAAAGTCAAATCGGCGAAGGAAAAGGATGTACCAACCATTGTTGATAAATACCAAACCGAAAGAATACCTACTTTCGATAAAACGCGAATTCATGGATTTAGGAAGGGTAGCTGAATACAAAGAACATGAGGCTTCCATTTGTCTCGAATTCGAAAAAAAAACGAAGAAAAAAAATTCAAGCTAAACGCATTAGTTTATACGCAACAAAGGTCTCTCCTTACAACTCACACAATGCATAAGAATGGTTTCAAGCTGACAGGAAATACAAAGTGAAGAGCAGAGAGAACACAGTTAAACTTTGATTGAATTGCCAGGTAAGAGTCGGTGAAAGCAAGATGCAGATAGCGTCATGCATTTGTGAAGCATCATTTCAGTTCATGCACCCGTGGCTAGAGCTAGATTTTACTGTGCAGCAAGCAAATTAGCGTGTCTGGAGAGCAAAAGAAGGCGAGTCTGGCTTATCACGTCGTTAGAGCTGGGCAGCGGGGGTACGTTGTAACTCTGACAGCCACGAGACAGCATCAATGAGGTGCGTTTTGTCAATGACGCGTTGCAGAATCGAGTCACAGTCACTGAGTCCTGAGGTAAAGGCCGATGGCCGATGTCACAGGTCACTTAGTGGAAAAGTCGCGTGCCGTCTACCTTTATCAGTCAACACAACTAAGTCAACTAAGGAGTCGTTTGGCGCCAAAAACTACTGTTTCAAACGGTGAATAGTCAAGCTTGTTCACAAGCAGTTATTAACAGTCATCCTGTTTCCCGTTTCAGAGCAGCATATAGTGTCCAGAAGCTAGCCTAGTCGCCAGAGCTGCCCAGAAAGCGTGTGCCCTGACCACCCTCGCACACCTCAGCCCAGTGGCCGCAAGTCGAGGCACACATCATGCGGGCTTTACCTAGCATAGCGCTCTCAATTGTCTCGGCAAAGTTCATGATAGTCGAGTTAACGGAGGATAGGAGGCCACTCTCGTCGGGCGGTGGCGCGTCAAACTCCACTGGAGGCCCTAAAACGTAGCAGACACGGCACTAATCAGAAACCAACACCGCGCGGGGGCTGACGGAAACCAGGGCTGCGGAGTCGGAGTCGGAGTCGGTTGGAGTCACCGAAAATCCATTGACTCCGCAGCCCTGTCGGAAAAAACGAGAACGCAAGCAAACAAGCGGTAAATGGGGGTAAAATAAATAAACAGTTCACATTCGGCCAATGTAATTTCAAATGTGAGCTATTTCAGGGAAGCAAAGGGAAGACAACCTCAAGGATACATTTCATCATAGCCAAATGGAAACAAGTTCAGAAGGGAAACATGAAACATTTAACGAAATAATTTGCACAGCTGTGGGCAAAAGCTTAACAAACAGATACACTCACTTATTTACATGCACGTGCAGCATACATTTAAGCAGGGCGTGGCAACAACGAATAGAATGTCGCTAATATGTAAGTGCACCCTACACAATAGACATTACATACATACAAAGTCAGAAACACAAATGCCCGATCATTGAGAATAGGCCAGTCGCTGGGTTATCGATATACGTCACAGGTTAGTCATCACGGCACAATTTGCGTCACGCGTCCACAATCAGGTTATGGCATACGTCACACGAATGTCAGGTAAGTTGCTTGCCACGTCAGAGCCAACGTCACAAGTCAGTCGATCATAGGCCACAGAATGTCACAAAGCATGTCACTAATACTCATAACGATGGACCATAATTGTCAGGTGAGGTCAGCGCTAAGCGGCCTGCAATGAACTGAGCTAACCCTAACGGTCCTCGTAACGTTGGTTTTCTGAAAGCGCAAATATTTTATGAATATGTACAGAATGTCTGCATATTTTTAGGAATGACAGAGTGCTAGAGGTTATTCTGATAGGAAAAATGAAATGTTTGTTTAGTGCTTGCCGCACTACAAACTACGTTTAAATACGTAATTACGTATTTAACGTAATAAGTAGTTAGTGCTAGGCTAGCTTATGTACTAACCTTCGTCCCACCCATCCCGGGTTAGCCCACGCCACAGGAAGGGACAGGGGAGGGGGAGGGGAGGAGGTAATCTGACCGGCCCGGCCAACCACGGAAGCCCCACAATCTACTACACTCCCCATTCCCTCTCCCGGTTGGGTCGGCCCAGCGGGTTCGGGGATAAACGTAAGCGCCGGCATATGACGCCACTCGCTGGTAAAATGAATGTTACTAGAATATTGTCAGGAATCTGTCAGGTACAAGGAAATATGACTTGTGTGGATAGGTACAGATAAAAACATTTTGACAGAATTTGATATTCTGTTTGGGTATGGGCATACCAGCAGCTGTTACCGGCTCTAAATATGTTAGCCCCATATCAGGGCCGCAACTATACCAGAGAATATCGGCGCCTAGTCCAGCTTACTCATCTACAGACTGCACAGTTATTACAAAGTGAATTCCATTCTTTTCAACTCACTATCGATCTTTATAATCCTTTATCGTTCTGACAAGTATGATAGCGAAATCTGCCGATAGTTAGGGCACGAAACTTACATCACTAGTCAAAGCTCATGTATCGTTGTGCATTCAAGCGCCTTAGCATGACTCAACGTCTCCATGATGTGCCCCATGTTTGCATCACTATTGCTCTGTGTACCTGCACTTTACCTGCACTCATGACCAATACGACACGCCAAAGCCACATCGTTGATTAGAAGTGATTCAGCCAGCACATCTCAGTCACAATCCACGTACGTGAACTTCGCTTACGAAAGCACAACCGAGATAGCGACCACACGCATTAGTTATCAGCACATACCACATAGTTTGTAGGTGGGCACTGAGCTTGTTCGTCATGTGCACTGGCTGGTGGGTCTTTTGCTGGGGCAGAGACTGCTGCCAAGTTCTGACACTGAAAGCAACAGCTTGCACTTTGAATACCATCTCATGAATGGCGATGATTTGTGATTTAATTTCAGGGCGCCCGGACTTCAGAGGTCATCGGCGCCCATGAAATGTTTCATGAAACTACAACTATGCGTAAGGGATCGCACAATGAAACGAACTTATAAGGAACTTTAATTGCAATAATTTTCTTACCATGATTTAGCCAAAGCACTGTGTCTGAAATTTGCATCACTGAGAGGCATGACTTGCACACTCAAAGCTAGGAGTACTCGTATGTCAACGCATCACTGTTCAAACTAAAAGAATGTCCTCTCGGGCTCGGCCACAGCTTACATAACCGAGGTATCCGAGCATGACCAGTTTCGTTACATAATCCACTCGGGATTCAATGTTTATGCATGCATAGTAGCAAGAGACGGAGGACTTTGCAGGACAGTGGCCACTGGCGTGCTATCGCGGAAAGGTTCTGCAAAACACTTCTGAACATCAGTAGAGATTAACGTAATAAATGGAGAACGATAACAGGATGATAAAGCTTTGCCTTCTTCCAGCTTGTCAGCTGTTGTTGTTATCGCTTAGTCAGAAAGCGTATAGATTCCTGGGACGTTCCCATCACACATGAACAAAGGGTTCGCAAGAAAGAAAAGCGGACGGACCACCCAATTATTATCGGGGCCATATCGTGCCTCAATATTCACGGTTATGGCCCAGTGGGTAAGTGCCGACCCTAGCTCGATGACCTATCGAACGCGCGCCAGAGTATCGAGCGACACTGGGTCAGTCCACATTGAGCGGTCACAAGGCTGAGATAGCTTATCCGGCGAATGGAACAGTCGGAGTTCGTCGATTAAATAATAATTTTAACACAATGACTATTTCGTAGCTCAGGAACCCGACAGCATGATTCTGCAGTTCGATTTCAGCGTTCGCTTTGTCTCTCGCAAAGGAACGTTGCCTTATTAGCACAATATATATATTTCAAAGGTATTAGTGCCCACTCTGTATCTTATATCTGCTTATTATGTTGTATCTTTGGACTTGACGGTTCTAATCAAACGCTTATCAGTTAGACGCGTCTGTATTTGCTCTCCGACGTGATGCAAACGACTTAAAGTGTGCGATGAAAGATAATGCTTCAACGACCTACTCATAAACAGTTACACACTTTTTCGTAACAAACATCGATTCGAAAGATAACGAATCAGACAGCCGGCTGTGGGCTGAGCCGGTGAGGTAAAATTCCGATGTAACATTCCGGTTTGCACCGGAACGATCAGCTGTGGTATTACTACACAAACAAACCGAGGCACATCATTATTCAGCGCCGCGAATAGACTGAGTCATGACTGTATGGACAAGCCAGGCTCTTGTCCGGACCAGCGGACTCCGTGCCAATAGTGCCGACTCCGACCTCCGTCCGTTATATCGTTACGTCACTATGAATCACCCGTCTTGTCCGTTATACTGCTCGACTCCGTACGGCTATCAGCCGCGCCATCCCAAACAAACCGGCTTCAACCGGATATCCTCCGATCTACGTCATCACCATCCTGTTATATCACCCTGATATCACCCAGTTCCGTCGGATCATCGGCCTTCGTGCCTTACAGTTACAGCTGGCTCCTACATATAGCCTACAGCACTATAGCACCGGCCTCCGTGCCTTATACAAATGGCTCCGGCCTTTAGCCCATAACATTATAGCACCGGCCTTCCTTATACAGCTGACTCCTGCTTATAGCCTACAGCACTATGGCATCGGACTCCGTGACTTTTACAACTGGCTTTGACCTATAACACGAAAGCAATGCCCTCCGTAGTCCGTACCCCATAAGAATACAACCGGCTTCGTTTGCTACAACACCGGTTTCATCCAATGCAACGTCCAAGCCTTCCGCTTTCGCCAATTAAGTGCGCCAGCAAAGCCGTGTCAAGCCTCCATAGTCCATAGCTCATACCGTTATACCAACCGCGTCACCACGGCTCTGCCAATTACGAGTATACTACCCAAACCACAAGCCTTCATCATCATACCGTTATACGAGTTGCGCCTCGCTGGCTGCGCGGCGTTGTTCATTCGTGCGCGAACACCCCCACCCCTCCCCCCACCGCAGTAAATATGCCAGTTGAGTGGCAGTTCCTACATAGTCCAGCACACGTGATGGGAGCTGTTTCGCCATAACGTAAACACGAGCGTGTGACTGGGAGGGGAGGGGGGAGGAGGACAGGCAGCCCCCCCCCCTCCCCCGCCCTACAGACTGGTCAACCGACAGCCGGTTACGGGCGGTATGAGAGGTTAGCCCAACCTATCTATTTCTGGCAGTATGGTGGTCACTCCCCAAAGCTCAAAGCACGGAATGGGAAGATTTTATCAACGGAATTGAGCGATCACCTAAGGACCTTACGAATTGAAGCATGTGATATTTAATTGATCGCCGAAGTTATTCGAAGTTCCGTTAAAAAAAAAACATTAGTCATAATACTTACACCATATTCGATTCATAGCGGAACCCAAATTGTAACTGAATTAATTAAATAAACGTTCATTGCTGGATTTTGTCTACAGTCAACGAAAAACCACACAAATTGTCAATGTGGTTTCGTGTCCGTGACTGTGACAAATATAAAATAAGAACAAAACTGGGAGCCAAACTGGACAAAATAAGTAGGTACCGCATGGATCCAGCTAATTAAAGAATGCCTGGTACTTCAGCTCAACACAATCGTCCTTTATCTGAGGTCACCCGAATGTAACGGGGAACACATGAGCAAATGGTCTACCAAGCCATTAACAGAACCGCCAGCGGAATGTTTGTACTGCAGTGACCGGCAAAGTTCTCCGTCAAACCATCGTCCTACCGAATTTTTAACTAGTATAATGTTATCGAATTTCGCCAAGCATTGTTGATCACGAGTTATTTCACACAACTGGATAAAAAAATAGATGCTTAAGTAAATATAGCGCCCAATATAGGGTTCAAGTAAACAAAGGGGGATGCAGGAATAAGTCTGTACAGATTGCACAACGTTCGTCAGTCCAAGTCCTTTCAGTCAATATCTTAACCAAAACATCCAGGGCCTCCCATACCACAAACAGCACCGTACATATTTACATAGCATGCCTGTACTGGGGGGATGGGGTGGGGGTATTCATGAGGGAGGGGGGTAAGGGGCTCAGCCGGGTGAGATCGACATGGGGTAAGAAGGGAGCTCACCGATCAGCTTGATCAGGTCCTGGATGTAGTCCTTCTGGCAGATCAGATGGTGGAAGTTTCTGCCGCAGTTCTTGACACAGGTCTCCAGCACCTGCCGAGGGCACGTGACAGTTTTACACCGCTTTTATTACGCGAGATTCTGTGTTTCCTGTTGGTGGTTCTGAAAAGGGATCGGATAAGACATCTCTTATGGGAGAGTAGTGATGTGAAAAAACGGCACGCAGCCTCACATAAACGTCGATTAAAAACGTTAGAGTAACATGGAGTGTCAGAGACAGGTCGATTGAATCACAACAAAGTGACACAGGGCATCGCAAAAAATGCAACACCTGACAACTCGCCCCATACGAAATATAGCGGTACAGATCAGCAAAGGTAGCCCGGCATAGGTGTAAGACAGAACCGTAGGTATGATCACGTGACGGTTGCGTTTACGTGCGACCGAATAAGTCAGACAACACGTGACAGTTGCATAATACGATACGACAAGACATACGCCCGCCACGCGGTTATCCCTCGCACCGACGGGGGGGGCGGATATCCGCCCCCCCTGAGGTTTTTCGCGAATAGCGGGAAAACCGCGGCGCGTAGCGCCACGAAATTTGGTATGACTATAACCTCATCAATTTTACACATGGTGTGCAAGTTTTAACCTCCTACCTTTTAAGGTCAGGTCACCAGGTCACTTTGAATGACCCAACCTCAAGTCACTTTTTTGCAACTTTGTCACCGTGCCAGAGCTACAGTAGATGTCGGAGGCCTTTGAAAGTCGCAGGATATTATTAGGTCATTAGTAGCTACAATTTGTATATCTTGGAATTTTGATATCGGTGACCTAAGGTCAGGTCAATTTCGCGACTTCCCCATTATAAGTCAATGGGGGAAAAATCAACTCCCTGTTTTTACCACTAAAACGGGTCGGAATGGCCCCATATACCATACATGACTTCATATACGATCAACCCTCACTACCTTGAGGTCTGTTTTGCTGTTGGGCAGCTGTGAGGTCATGTGACGTCATCAAAGGTCACCAAAGGTTTTTGGCCAATAACTCCGTACAGGAACAAGATACAGACGCGTGGATGGTCTCATTGTTTTCAGCTCGTCAAGACGCATCGAATGATATACATGATGACCTCGAGGTCACGTGACCTGAGGTCAACCTTTGACCTTGACCTTTCGAGGTCAACATATATATCATTCGATGCGGATTGACGAGAGGATCACGATGATGCCCTTAGTTTGTTCCTATCTTGACTAATTCGAAAGTTATTCGAGAAAAACTCTCCATATCTAGCGCCGCCATTTTGACTTTTTCGACCCCTGTGACGTCATCTTTGACCTGACCTGAAAATGACCTAAGTAAAAATTGTAGATCTTGGCCGTGCGTATCCGATGCCGTTTACCGCTTGTCGCTATCTTGCTTCGTTCTCGAGATCTCAGGGGGGGGGCGGTCATCCGCCCCCCCCCCCGTCGGTGCGAAGTTGGCGCAGACCCCCGTCGGTGCGCGGGTTATGATAAATCTCATCAATGACCATTGACCCCATCCATTCCATCCCAGCAAACTGACCGTCAGCGTGTACATGACTGCCGTGTAGTTTTTCCCAGAGAAATGGTGCAGCCGTTTCTTGATGGCTCGTGCAGCATCTTTGGCCGCTTCCTCCGAAGAGTTGATGATGTCGCAGATCTCCATGTTGAGAGTCCAGTCCTCAGAAGCCAACGATGGGTCGGTGGCTTCCTCTGTTGGGAATAAAAGGTGATAAGAGTGAGTGAAGTCTCGCGATACTTTGATTTGATCGGCGGTCACGTAAAACGATCAAATTTATGACGATTATTGCTCAATTTAAATTAAAATCGATTCTGCAAGCGATACTTTTTCTATTGCTCGACGCGTCGGTGATCCGATCGAACACATTGAGGCACGGAGGGTTATAACGCCCCCTCCCCTGTAGTTAGGCTGCTGGTCGCGTAACGGTAGCGAAAGGCGGGAAGCAGTGTTCGAAACGTCGTCATAAATAATTGGAAAGGTTCGGTTCGATACACTGCCACGTGCTTATTCTTTGTATTGAAAAATGGCTGTCGATCGTCATTCCGACCCAAAAACGATCGAGAAATTATCGGGAGCTGGTGACTAGCTGTAAACTAGTAAAAGGACATTGCATTGAGCTGGAAGACGATGACATATTCATGTGCATTGTTAAAATCACAAATACACTCAAATTTCAGTAAGCAGACAGCAGAATATTACATGCACCAGCATTTAGTTTCCATTTCACAAACACAAAGTGGCTCAATTATCACATAATGAGCATAGCTATCACATGAACTTCCAAAAACACTTGCAAGAAAAACAAACATCTTTACAGATCTCCTTACCTATTTTGTGTCCAACAGGAGTAGCCATTGGATTTCCAGCAAATAAATTCGCCATTGTGGCAGCCATGGTGTCAGTTAGATTTGACTAATAACCACCTTTCTTTAGTGCTTTTTGGTGCTCTTGAAATATGATCACCTGTAAAGAGAAATCATGGGTTAAGAATAACAGCAAAAAATTACATGAAAATAAATGAAACTGAAAGGGCATCCTCATAAAAGTACCTATATGATATTGTGTCAATACCTAAATTGAGCTTAGGATTGAACCCTCCTATTTCTTTTATTTATCATTCCCCTCCATAGTCCATCCTTTCCCTCACTCAGATAAAGATCAGTAATTAGTATTCAGTGACCCCGGATGAACTTTTAAGGTCAGCCACTGGCCCACTTATAAGGCAACTTGTCTCATGACAGAACACCAAAGTTACAGTGAATTCAGGGCTACTGTTAATAAAAAATGGTGTATACATTCCTTTATCTTTATTTCTTAACCTTTGTTGCAGACCTCAAAACATCATCAAGCTTCAAATAAAAATTTCAACTCGTTCAGGTAGCATATATGATGCTCTCCGGCCACTTTAAACTAGAAGACACATCCCTGTTGAGCATTAAATAGGTACATACTGGTATACTGGGATATTGGGAAGAATTTAGGATCAGAAGAACATGTCGTTTTCCCACTCATTAGGTATAGGTAGGTATAGGTATATAGATAATGGACTTGGGGTAGCAGTATGCTATTTGTTGTCCATGTCATTGTTGGCAAGGAAACATGTCAGGGTACTCATTGAGGTTGGAGGTCACAGGTCACAGTTGGCTTTGAGCTGGAGGTGCTTATCTAGCTTAGCTTTAAATGTAGCAGTGGTGTCAGCAGACACAACATCATCTGGTAGCTTGTTCCAGTCATTAGCCACCCTCTGTGAGAAGAACCTTTGTCTGGCTTGATGGACTGACTGCTCCTTGTGTAATTTCATATGGTGACCTCTTGTGTTTGTCGTCCTCAGTTTGAAAAACTTCTCTCTCCTCACATTGAGCTTCCCTGACATGATTTTATACGTCTCAATCAAGTCGCCTCTTTTTATCCTGTCTTTAATAGATACGGTCTTCAGGAATTTTAGTCTTTCTTGGTATGGCCTGTGCTTTAACCCCCTCACCAATCTTGTAGCTCTGCGCTGGATGTTTTCGAGGAGACTGATATCTTGAACAGCTTGGGGACCCACAGCTTGTATACAGTAGTCCAGGTGTGGTCTCACATATGAGTTGAAGAGGCTGGTGAAGTTTGTTGCTGTGATTTGGTCAAAGGACCTCTTTATCATTCGGAGAGCTACCATTGCTTTGCTCGCAGCTCTTTGACAGTGACTAGTAGGTCGAAGGTCGTTTGTTATAGTCACCCCCAGGTCTCGCTCCTTATCTGTGACTTCTAGTTTGACTCCTCTAATACTGTAAGATCTTTTTGGGTTTTGTGGTCCACAGTGCATCACTTTACACTTTTGGGGGTTGAATTCAAGAAGCCATTGGTACTGAAGGTACTGAGTTATCATACGTCATAGGCAAAACACTTGCCAAAATTTTCAGCTAGTACAGTAAAGGGACAGTGGTGAATTTACTCTAATGACTGATTTGCCAATTGCTGATTTAAGAAGAAATTCATTATTGAATTTTTAGCTTCAGATATAGCTTTTAATTAAAACACCACCGTTTCATCTGCAACAGCTAAGTGCCAACAAATCAACAGCTTTATCGTATCAAACGGTGCAACTTTTAGCAAGATGACATAAGGCAAATTTCCAAGACAAATACTAAAATTCATAGGGCGAAAGATCACACCACACCCAAGAACTAACTTTACTCAATATTTCACGCACCAACGCGCACTCACTGGTGTGTAAACACAGCGGCTACTACTCACGGAATTACAGAACCGTGCTCAGTTATTTGCAAATCCTGCTTGTTCAGAGCCCAGAGGGCTGTTCACGGGCCCTGTGTGCGGTTGGACCGCACACAGCCTCCAAGCTCCGCCCACTGCGTCCCTACGTCAGCATTCCGTCACCGCACACAGCGACCGCTGTGGCCGGTCGGGACTGGCCACAGCGGACCGTCCACCGCACGCAGCCGTGACGTCAGAGCCGCCTACCCATCCCCTACCCCCACGCCTGCTGGACGCACCGCACACACCGCACGCAGCAGTGTGTGGTGCCCGTGAACACCCCTCTGTTCGGGCAGCGCATCCTACTGCAAAATTTTGCACCACGCATGCGCAGTTGGGGTCTCTCGGGTGCCAAGCTCCGCCCTTCGGCGTATGACGTCACACGTGTGACGTAGGCTCGCGCAAAATCTTTCAGTTTTGCGCAAGAAGAAAATAGTAGCTGCAGGAGGCGAAAGTGGCGCGGATTAAAGTTTACCCTCATATATTTGTTATTGTAAGTGGTTAGTATGGTGTTATTTTGGTATCATTACCTTTCTTTTCAGTGGCACATTGCTATTAACCACATTTGAACGCATTTTACTCAGTAATTGAACGAAACACACCAGTCCACCCGCGCCACGGTTCGCCGCGTGTCGCGTGGCCCTCGGCTTTGCGGGCCGGCGGAGAGTGGGCGGAGCATGGGCGGAGCCAGGCGGCTGACATCATCGCATGTGTGACTTCACACTCAGCAAAATATTTTGCGCGGACCCGAACAGGGCTCAGAAAGCTGCGATAGTGATTGGGTGCTATTACCACTCACTGCTAATGGCTTTTAAAAGAACAGGATGATTTGTATGGCGCAGTTGCGACAAAATTCGTAATTCTTTTAGTCTGATTTGTAAAGAGAATAGCAACAGCAATCTGTGACGTCAAACAAGTTGAACCACTCGTTTCGGAGCGTGTCATTCTTTTTGAAAACTGTTTTGCAATTTCACCTTTTAATTTGACATTCACATAGCAAAAAATATTTTTCCTGTAGGGAAGAAAGTTCAATCGACGTGTTTGGATACTTGTTTTCTGAAAATCTGAATAGCTAGGATTAACTGATGACGTCATATTTAAATCATGCTCATTGATGTGTCTACACTTCTGCTTATATGCCAGTTCTTTCATGGCCCTGTTTCACCGGTGATAGCAGCACGCCACTATCAAATTGCGCGAGCTGACGTAATGTGATGACGTCATACTGCTGACGTAAGGGATAATTCTGGCGCACGATTGCCGCAATATTGTTTTACGTCATCAACTAAATGTTCGAAGTTTACGTCCAAATTTTCCTTAAAACCAACTTTTTTTAAATACATCATATTAAAAAAATATATATTGTAATTAAATATACTATCATGACTGCATAAACTCTTACTTTTAAAGGCTCATACGTCACTTAATGCCGCGGCCAAGGTCGCGGCAATCGTGCGCCGGAACTGCCCATTACGTCAACAGTATGGCGTCATGACATGACGTCAGCTCGCGAAACGTGATAGCAGCGTGCTGCTATCACCGGTGAAACAGGGCCCATGAGTTTCCCCTTTTCGTGTGTGTTACTTTGACAGAGGCGGGGGAGGGTGAATCAAAAATTGCAAGACGCTTCGGTTTTAGGTTTCAATACAATTTCCAGGTTGTTCGTGTTGCTGGCTGCAAGATGCATTCCAGACGTTCAGGGAGCCCAAATATGGACCCGCTTCAAGCCATGAGGCGGATGGACTTCCCTTACTGTGTCCATGAAGCTCTGAAAAAGCTTGGTCAGTAACTAGGTAGTAGGTACCTACCTATAAATTCAATTTTTTGTGTCAACGATTCATGTCAGTCCCCCAGTCACACCCCAACCCCATTGCTCAGACTTTAAAGCATGGCGATCTCATTGATCTTGTTGGCGATCCTGCTGGTGCTAAGACACTCGGTGTCGGTGTTGTGCAGTTTTTCTCCTAGAGCGGCAAGGATTTTGTTTTCAAGTTGTTACTGTTAGTCTTAAACCTTCGATCTAGATAACACGTTTGACATTGGAACAGAGTGTTGTATCTCGTAAGTCTGAAGTCTGAAGTAAGAACATTTCAAAAGTACGTTTTTAACTATGCTTATAAATGTACGGTACAGGTGCGGTCTTGTGACGGAGTAACTATATCGTTACTGATTCAGCCTCTTCTGTCCTTTTACAGACCAGATAGTACACCAGGAACCAACGCGACTGCGACCCATTCAGCCGTTCGTACAGCTCCTTATCAACGAGTTCATCATCTTTGACGGCACCGGTAACAGCAAGTTCAGGAGGGTGAGTATGCTCGATGTTGAGTTTACATTTCAAACAATGAGTTAACCCTCGCTCGTTTTGGTGTTTTTCCAGCCGCGAGCGTATAAGGAGGGGGGGGGGTCCGTTGGACACCCCCTTGCAGTTTCGCCCCTGATCGAGCTAGAGCTTTGCGGAAGAAACGAACGTGTTGCCCGTAACGAGAGGAAGCCGATGATACCCAATTTTAAGGTCCTAGGTCATTGGTTGACCTTCCAGGTCAGGTTAATGACACAAAGGTCGGGAAAATCGCGACATGTTAGAACGACGTAAAGTGTGGCTGCCATGGGGTTTTCGGGGTGCTGATCACGAATATCATGTTAGTTTTGATCACAGATGATGTCTTCATTCATTTAGGCTAGGTCGGGTCACTGGTCAGGCCAGGTCAGGTCAACCAGTAGGGGTCCTGCCGGGTATTCTTAGTAGGTGTCAACCGCCTCTGACAGCTTCGTTTCATGTTACGAAAGCACCAAAACTACTTCGTAAATGTTCATATGGTTGCCTATATTCAAATGCAGCTCCAAAAACTAGCGTTGAAACATAAAAAACTCGAAAAAAGTGAAGCGAGGTTATCAAAGGTCAACGACATGGCCTGACCTTCAGGTGACCTTGACATCCACCCTTATGCATGGGGGCAACACGATATCACATGTTTGAACGCTTGAAACCACGAAAAGACTGCAAACGCGCGGCTAATGCGAGCCGACATAGTGCCGAATCGCGATTCCGGCCAAGCATGGTCTCGAAAAGTAGGTCACAGGTCAAGGGTCATTTAGGCAAACTGACATAAAGGTCAGTTTAGTTCAGGGACATAAATTTTTCAGGGTAGGTGAAAAATTGATTAAAGCGAGGGTACTGAAAGTTTGGTCGCGATCGGCCGCTTTTTACGCGAGTTATTCGCGAAAAACCGCGGGGGTCCGTTCGACCCCCCCCCCCCCTCCTATACGAGCGAGGGTTAATTCACTATGTCATCAGGGTTGTTTCCTGGTGTCGATTTTGAGTTTTATGAAAATATAGCATCATCATAATAATGACTCTCATAAATGCAGTAATGCTCACTGTGTGAAAGGTGTGTCCAAGAGCTTATGGTGCCCACTGCTGGTTCATACTGTTCACCCTCATCTCTTTCTGCCGCAGAATCTTAACAACGTACAGAACCTACAGCTGCTTGAGGTTCTGGGCGACTACTTCAGCCTGCCAAACTCGGAAGCAGCGCGCGTCATGGTACGTTTTTTACGGTTTTTACGTACCGTAGAACTCTGAGGCCGTACTAGTTGCGTAGAAGGTACATTCTAACGTGTGTGCTTGCTTTGACATGGACATTTTAAAGTCCAAAAATGAAAATAAATTTACGCACTCTCTTTGACAGGCTTCCATTGTGGAAGTTTACCCACATCGCCGTTTCACGATCACCTTGCGTCGTCCCTTCCGCAGACATCCATGGCCCAATACCATCCTTCCGCCTCTCTTGACAACCCCGCGTCGTCTTTCTTTACCAACTCCCACGCCCTATCAGTAACCCGCTCCGCCCCGTTTCCAGGCGTTCATGGTGCTCAAGGGCGGATCTAGGGGGTCGTTTTGGGGGGGGTCACCAGTCGGCCGACATACCAGGTCTGGTGAATGAATTCTGACGACCGGGGGGGGGGGGGGGTAGGGAGCGAGTATGTCGAGATCAAAAAATGACATTTGATCTTCGTCGTTTATAAGATGAAGTTTTATCGTAAGTCACTCGGCTCAGTAGTTTTAGTTAGTGAAACCCACCTATATAGGAGCGTCGCCACGGATTTTTTACTGGGGGGGGGGGGGGAGGCGGGTCGACCGACTTAAAAACCCAGAAGTAGATATAGTTACCTCACTTTTAGCCTAATGCATTAGTAAATAGTAGCATACAGTCACGATCTCTCTTATTGACCTGTGTATGAATCGGCGGCGCGAAGCGCCGCAAAAATTTGCAAAAAAAAAGTTGTCAAAACACAGCTCTAAAACACAAATATTACAACCTTTTTAGCATGCTAGTACAAGCCGGAGTTCCTTCACAGTACACATATGAATTCCGATTCAATTTGACACGGTTAGTGTTATTACAGTCACTGTTATTTCTCTCTTATTGATTGGTGTATAAATCGGCGGCGCGAAGCGCCGAGAAAATTTGCAAAAGAATGTGTCGAAACACAGCTCCAAAACACAAATTTTACCACCCTTTTAGCATTGCAGTACAAGCCGGAGTTCCTTTACAGCACACATATGAATTCTGATTCAATTTGACACGGTTGGTTTATGTAATTACAGTCAAGATTTCGTATTGACCTGTACGTATGTACATAAATCGGCGGCGCGAAGCGCCGCGAAAAATTTGCAAAAACATTTGTCAAAACACAGAGGGGGCCTCCTCTCTACAGAGGACCACCGATCTCTACTGCGGGCCTCCTCTTTTCACAGGGCCTCTTAACTACAGAAGCTACAGGGCCTCCTCTCTACAGAGGGCTTCCTCTCTACTGAGGGTCTCTCCCTTTAAGAGGGCCTCCTTTACAGAGGGCCTCCTCTCTTCAAAGAGCCAGAGGACCTCATCTCTGCAAAGGGCCTCCTCTCTTCAGAGGGCCTCTTCTCTACAGAGGGCCTCCTTTCTTCAGAGGGCCTCTTCTCTACAGCGGGTCTCCACTCTTCAGAGGGCCTTCTGCATTCAGGCGGTCTCCTTTCCACAGAGGGCCTCCTCTCTACACAGGGCCTCCTCTCTACATAGAGCCTTCTCTCTACAGCAGGTCTCCTCTCTACAGAGGGCCTCCTCTTTAAAGGGGTCTCCTCTCTACAGGGGGCCTCCTCTCTACTGAGGGCCTCCTTTCTACAGAGGACCTCCTCTACAGAGGGCCTCCTACCTACTGAGGAGTCAGAGGGGCCCTAGCGGTCAGACACAGACACTAGCGGTTATTCACTGGAGGCCCCAGGAAGTAAGAAGGGCCCTAGCTGTCAGGCTGGTCAGAGGGCCCTGAATGTCCTGACGTGATTTTTGGGATTCCCGTGAATTTCTTTCGCCTCAGACGTGATTTTGACCTGCCAGGGCCCAGGGGCACTAAAAATAAAACAAACAAAATAAAAAATGAAAATAGGACATCACCAAAATTAAGTGACCGAAATCCGTTGAGTTTTTAATTTTGCGTATAGGTAGGGGCACCACGAATTAAATTCATGACCATCCCCTTGGAGTTTTCCTGGATCATCCCCTGGTGCTCGCACGGTTGAGACAAAAACGAGTAAGATTCTGGTCTTCAATACGCCTTTTCACGCAACACGATCCAGAAAAACAAAGGTATTAGCTCA